CCAGTTATACCAGAGTGCGCAGATCACACTCACTACCGTCCGGGTTTACGGAAGCGGCCCTGACTTGACAGTAGTATAACGATACCTATCTGAGTCCTTGACCATATCCTGTAGAGGGCCAAGCCAGGGGTGGAGAGTCAGTAATTACTGCTTTTCCCTATAGAGTTCCTCCCTGATATATGTATTTTGATATAATCTCAGATACCAGTTATAACAGAGTGCGCAGAGTCAGCGGAATAAATCTTACACTCATAATTCTTTTGGGATTAATTTGAAATTTTGAATATTTATAAGGACTTTGATTGTGGAGTATATAAGGGTATTTTTGGAAACTTTATTTTCTGTAAATCTTCTGTAAGTCAATAGTTCTGGAAGAATAGCATTTTCCTTTCACCGCACCCAACTTCGTAATTCGTGTATTTAATTGGGATTTTTGAAGATTTTAATGATTTTATTTTTTTTTAAGTGATACTTATGTAGATTTTGTGAATTTTCTACGGATTTGTACTTTCATTTTAAAACTGTTAAAAGACTTTTGAACACTTTCATTGGAAATAGAATTTATATAAATCTAGTGCAATATTGTGAAATTATCACGTAGTGGTTCTTCCCACCTCCTTCCTTTTCCTCCATATAATAAAAAAAAAATATTTAAAAGAATAAAATTTTTAAATTTTAATTAAATAAATAATTATACATATAAAAAATAAATTTAATATTCAATATTATTAATATAATGTACATTTAAAGAATAGATAAATTAGTCTACATAGAATTTTATAATTTAATTAAAATTGATATTTTTCAGAAAAAATAAAAAAAAGTTATAAAAATACAATTTAATTTTTTCTTAGAAAATAGAAATAAACAATAAGAGAGAGAGAGAGAGAGAGAGAGAATAATACAATCAATAGAAAAAAAATTTAATCATAACTAATATTTGTAGCATGGAAAAAGAAAGAAATATTGAAAAAAGGTCCTTACCTTTTGTAGTATCACCTTTGACTACCAACTTTAATTTATTAAACACCCTTGGACATGCGTTTCAATGATGTGTCAAGTTAATATATCCAAACTTATTAACACTATTAAACGTCCATACGTTTTGGTCTTTAATGTGCTAAAGATTTATATGTTTCAATTTTTTGTATTTTTACCCTTATTTACACGTTTCATTCTGAAAAATATCATTTTCATCAATTTTTATTCAATTTCTCAATAAAAATTCATGAAATAACAAATATATCATCTTATTTAAATAAAACAAAAGAAAAAAAAATAAAGACTAAAGAATTAATTGCAACTATAAATCCAAATTTCTCGAATATTACAAATGAGTCCCAAAAAATAATTAAAAATCAAAACTAAAAAAACAAAAATAACTTCATCTGCTTTTTCACCGACACTGCTACTGCATAAATCTTGTTTTTTTAGTTTTGATTTTTAATTTTTTTTTTGGAACTCGTTTATAATTTTTTGAAATTTTTTTACTTATGCTTGCAAAATATTTTTTTTTTATTTTATTTTATTCAAATGAGGTGGTATATTTTTCATTTTATGAATTTTTATTGAGGAATTGAATAAAAATTAATGAAAATGAAGTTTTCCACAATGCAACATGTAAATATGGGTGAAAATGTAAAAGTTGAAATATATGAACGTTTTGCACGCTAAAAGTCAAACGTATGGACATTTTGTACTAATAAGACATATATCCAGGGGCAAATCTCGTATCTATACAGAAAATTGTTTTACAATATATTATAGACATGATTTTGGATTTAAAAAATAAAAACCCTTGAAATTCAGGTATCACACTAGCAAGAACTCCAATTTCAAGCACGTATTCTAACAACTTGAGGAAATCGATCGAATGCTCAATTTTAATCGATTGTAGAGAGCTTGATTGAATCACGACTTGTTTCAACCCCCTCCCCCATGCAATTGCGAGTATATATGCGTCATATAAACATCTTGGATTTGATATCATTTAATTTATTTTCCTTACTCATTTTCATCACAGGAACACGCAATAGGATATTCTATAAATAAATTCAAATTTTTTCTCTACTTTTTAACCACACATTTCCTAATAAATATTATTCAAAACATAATTTTTCAAGTTTAAAGGCCACCAAATAGGGGCTAAAGTTCTACAATCATGCTACATTAACCTCAAGTTTAACAGTTTTTTTGACATCATGTGACTTGACAAATTTTTATCCATTGTTTTCAACGACACTTTTTTCAATCAATGATCAAGATTTCTACACACAGGCGGAGTGTTAAAGTTGATGTCAACCATGGATGTACAAGAAGAAGTTCAATAATGAAGGCACCCCTAATGGCAAATTATATAAGCCAATGGAAAAAAAAAAATACATGCACTTTATTAGTTATTTTGCGTGTCTTTTTTATTTGGAAATTTGCAAAATTACACTTTGCGATCATATTTATAATTTTTGTTGAAAAATTCACACATACCATTATAAACAGTTGAATAGATACGGTACCTTTTATTTAAAAAAAATGATTTATTAGTACAAAATGTCCATGTGTTTGGCATATAGAGCGCAAAACGTTCATACGTTTCAATTGTTTGCATCTTCACCCTTATTTCGATGTTTCATTGCGGAAAACGTCACCGCTTGTGAACCTTCGGGCACTGTTTTATTCAATATTTGTTCAATTATTCTTTCAATAAAATTCAAATTGGAGAAAAATAAGGCCATTGGGTTCTAATCTTGAGTGAAATTCATGTCTATCTATTGTGATTTCTACCGTTAAATAAACATCTGGACTCACTTTTATTTTAAAACTCGAAAAATAAAAATGGTCATACCACTTCAAGAAACTTTTCTGCCCGCAAGAACATTACAGACCTATGCACGCTTGATTTATCTTCAACGTCTCAACTCTCGATGTCCCTTTCACACCCATTTCCTTCATCCCCTTCTTCGATCATTTAAGATTTCTATATCGTAGTGGGCTACTCTCAGCACACATTGGAGGGCGAACTAGGGGAAGGTAATTTTTCGCTATGGATCCAATTTTTTTTTTTGCTTGTTTTATAGTTTGGAATTTGAAGCTTTGAGTAATTGAGAATAACCCGCTTATAATGAGAATAAGCATTTTTTTAAGTGGCATGACCTTTTTGTCCTTCTATTTTTCAAATAAAAGTGAGTTCATGTGTGCATTTAGCGGTGAAACTCATAGCAGATTGACGGAATGACATTGTCCACGATGAAATGTTGAAATAGGGGTGAAAATGGAAAAAAATTGAAACGTTGGGAAGTTTTTCACACTAAAGACATAACGCAAGGACGTTTTGTGCTATTAAGCAAAAAAAAAAAAAGACACTCCATATTTGTCTTATCTAACGTCTTGCATGCTATTTTATAATTATTTATTTTTCATTCTTTTAAGGATGATTTTTGTTGTGGGTGGGATTTTAAAAATATGTTGTTTTATTTTTTAAAATTCTACATCAAATTGATAAAATAAAATAAAATTAGTAAGTTAATAAAATATTGAAAAATCTAGTGACTACTTCATTTGACTAGGGATGGCAACGGGGCGGGGCACTCTTATCCCGCCCCGCCACTCCCCCGCTTCGCCCCGCCTCGTCGCCCCGTTGCACCCTTATCCCGCCCCGTCCCGACACTCCCCCGCTTCGCCCCGCCCCGTCTAAGACGGGGCGCGCGTTGTAGGACCGTTTCCCTGCCCCATTTATTTTTTTTATAATTTTTTTTTTTTTATATAAAAAATTTCCAGTTATACGGTTAAGGAAAAATATAACTCTACTTCCAAAAAAAATTGTTCATCAAATTTAAGAACATAAATTCAT